TGACCCTGCGACTCCCCACATGCAGGAAAACACATATGCAAGCATGGAATTTGCATTGCGTGGGATGCGACAATCCTGGTGCTAACGTTTGCTCTTCGGTACAGTTGCGTCATTTACGTCTCGTATTGAATACACACGAGAATCACGTTCCAGACTTTCTTTTAGCTGATGGTTCTTTTCTAGCACTGCATATTGAGTTGGAGCTTAAAGGACTTTATGGCAATTTTTGACAACTTTTTAAATCTCAAGAATATTCACGGCCCATTCAGATGCCCATGCTGTGTTGCGGTGCAATGGCGGACGCACTTTATGGTATTTTTAATGCATTCTTTCCCAGAAATGATTTTTTATTCACTTGCAATGTGCCTTTAAACTTGCTGGAAGTCAGTTCCCCAGCACAGTCCTTTCCCCTTGCTGGAAGTAAGTTCCCCAGCACAGTCCTTTCCCTCCTTGTATACCATAGCCTTCTCTTTATCTGGGAGTGTGTAATTATTGTCTGTGCTGAGCATGACACTTGCCAGAAGGTGGGCGGGAGGCTGGATAGGGAATCCCAGGTTTCTAAGAGCTGGGTAGGGGGATGTATATGCCCCTTACACATATCCCCGCCTGGCACTTAGCAACCTAGGACACTCGGGCCGGAAAGGGGGCAGCAGGAACACTGCAAACATTGTGCAGCAGAACGGTCATGCCGCTTTGCTTGACGCCCCCCACGTAACCCAAAGATATGCCTCATTATAGGGACAGCCCTGTTCACCACAGCTGGAAGGCCTGAGTTTGCCTACCCCTGCTATAGAGTGTTAGCTCTGAGTCTACTAGGGTTGCTGATGGCGGCTCTCAGCAGCAGTCTCAAGGCTTTTGTATGTCGACACAAGGGAGGCTTTAACAGGTAAATAGCGTGCAGTGCACAAAATATGTTAAATAGACATATGAGTTCAGAATGGATGGCACCACAATGTGCTGCACTACCGTACATGTGTATGAGTAATGCATGGTAAAATGTGCCCAAGGACCTTATTAATAAACATGCAGTTTTGACGCACATCAGCGCATGCACATGTGCAACTGTTGTTTTCATTAGGCACCCTTAATCCTCTTGTATTGAATGGTATTATAACGGTACTGTTCCCTTTATTTAGGAAAGTGCTGCAAAAACTGTTGGCGCTATATAAATCGTGTATAAAAAAACAACAATTATAATAAATAAAGTCCCATAGAAGTCGTGTTACATGAATTTTCACACACTGTTATTGCAAAACGCATTTAGAAAAGGTGCTTGAAAAATGCATCATCATGCAAGCTGATGGATGTGGAGTCAGCCTAAAATTTTTCTCATAATATTTACATTTTTACACTCATCAAACTGAGCTTCCACTATAGGTACTACCGACAAAACTAGGACACTATACACACACACATACATATTCATGCAGACGTGACGTAATATTCCAAACCTCCATATATAAGAATCCTCCCATGATAGACTTCAAACGAAAAATCTGAACAGTGTTCATAAAACACGTGATCTTGTACTTTGAGCCTCTTGTATTCTCCTGGAGGGGGCAGCCAGTTGCGAAGGTTCGGGCCATTTTAAAGTAAACTTACCATGATATTATTTTAGGATTTTAATAATAAATGAGTCAGTGGGGACGTCAGAACGTCTCTTATTATTGTTTTTTTTTACCAGTAAAAGGAAAACAGGAAGAGACAGATATGAGAAGAAAGGAGAGGAGAGGAGAGGAGGCGTATGAGAGGGAGAGAGAGAGGAAAGGGGGAGGATAAGAGCTGATTATGACGTCATAGTCGAACTCTAAGAACATAGTTGAGAGTCTCCAAAGGTTCAAACTCCTTAATTGTTACAGTGTAACAGGTCAAAACTCAGTAAATTTTATCGAGAAGTAAAAAAAAACCAAGAAACTCCTGGCAGCAATAACAAAGAGACAGACAGAAGAAGGAGGGGGCGGCAGACGAAAAGCTAGATTAAAAAAAGAGCGGAGACAGGTAACTGTGCCCGGGGCTGTACAGCATGTCTTCTCAGGTTCTCCACCACAATTCACTGCAATCCTGTCCTGACAGCAAGACACCCAGACTGTCCTGCTCCGAGCCCTTTCCGGGGTATAGAATGAGGTATTGGGTATAGAATGGAGTATTGACTGGGTATGGAATGGGGTATAAACTGGGTATAGAATGGGGTATGGACAGGGTATAGAATGGAGTATGGACTGGGTGAATGGGTGGGCTGAGTATAGAATGGAGTATAGACTGGGTATAAATGGAGTATGGACGGGGCATATAGGGGACTATGAACGAGTCATATAATGGTGTATGGATTTGTCAGAGACATAGAAAAGGGTATGGACGGAGCATGCAATAGGCTATTAACTGGACATAAAATGGGGTATAGACTGTGTGTAGAATGGGGTATGGACTGGGTATAGAATGGAGTATGGACTGGGCATAGAGTGGAGTATGGATGGGGCATAGAGTGGAGTATGGATGGGGCATAGAGTGGGCTATGAACGGGGCATAGAATGGTGTATGGACTGGTCAGAAACATGGAATAGGGTATAGACGGAGCATGCAATAGGATATTAACTGGACATAAAATGGGGTATAAACTCTGTGTGGAATGGGGTATGGACTTGGAATAGGATGAGGTATGCATGGGGTATAGAGTGGAGTATGGGCGGAGCATATAATGGGATATGCATGGGGTATAGAGGGGGTAGAAAAGGAGTTAATGAAAGAATCCTGATAGTGACAGGTATCTAGACTGTACATGGAATTAGGTACTATTGGGGAATAGACGGTGTATAGACATGGTATATGGATAGCTTGGGGTACTGATTTAGCAGGAATAGGGTAGAGGTTAAGATATGAACGGAAAATAGATGGGTTACTGATTGAGTGTGTGGACGGAAGAATGAGATATGGACTATACACAGACTTTATATTTAATGGGGTACTAATGGAGAATAGACGGGTATAGACAGGAATATGAACGGTGCATAGTTTGGGGCACTGATTGGACATAGACAGAACATAGACTGTGATGAAAACGAGGCATATAACGGAATACTGATTGTGTACTGACTGAGGTATGGACTGGGAATAGAACGGGATATGGATGGGCCGGGGCACAGAATGGCATATGGACGGGGCATTGAATGGGATATGGACGGGGCATACAATGGCATATGGACGGGGCATAGAATGGGATATGGACGGGGCATAGAATGGGATATGGACGGGGCATACAATGGCATATGGACGGGGCATAGAATGGGATATGGACGGGGCATAGAATGACATATGGACGGGGCATAGAATGGGATATGGACGGGGCATAGAATGGGATACTGATTGGGCATACAATGGGATGTGGACGGGGCACAGAATGGCATATGGACGGGGCATAGAATGGGATATGGACGGGGCATAGAATGGCATATGGACGGGGCATAGAATGGGATACTGATTGGGCATGGAAAGGGCAAAGACTGGTCTGTCATTATGGTGTGGATGGGGCATAGAATAGGACAAGGACTGGCTTTTGGAAGGGTACTGGAAAGGATTACAGACCAGATGTATACAGAGAACAGTCCAGTATCACAGATCAGTACAAATGAAGCAGCAGAGCGATCTACTATTAGCTAGCGCTGAACAAACTGCTCCGGAGTTCCTGGTGATAAAATGACACATTTTCTGAAAGAAACAATTACCCAGTCGGTGTAAATGGGCTTCAGCCGGTCTGTTGAATTAATTCACTTTGGCATTAAAACCCGCGAAATGTGACGGCCCCTAAAGCTGACAGATAGAGAACCAGCGAAAGAAAGAGGCGATATGGGGGAAGGGTGCTGTAGGGAGGTGATCCCTATTCCGTGAAAGTGCTGCAGGATCACTCTGCTCTGACTCAGTCCCTTCTACGAAGACACACTCCTACCACTATGGACAAATATATATCTCAGCTTGGAATAACTGCAAAAGGATCCAAAAAGTGAAAATATCTGCTAATCTGTAAACTTCTCTAATTCTCATTATATAGAAGAAAACAGTAAAACAACTGACAATAAGTACATCTATCTCTGATTTATAATCTATCTATCTATCTATCTATCTATCTATCTATCTACTGTAAATAGAGAGAGTGAGAGAGAGAGAGAGAGAGAAAGAGAGAGCAAGTGCATAACACACACACACACACACACACACACACACACACACACACACACACACACACACACACACACACACACAACACATTATACTATAATTATAAACATTAACCGCCTACAATGAAGATTTGGTTTTCACCCTAATGGGTTAATTTTTTTTATTGACAGTGATGTTCAAAAGTATGTCACTGTCACTTAGTGATTTGACATTGTATGCCACCTGGTGACCGCCATTGGCTTTTAGAGAAAAAAAAAAAATGTAGCTTTTAGTTTTAGGCTGAGAAGTACAGAAACATTTCTAAAATCCTAGGGATGCGAGGGGATATATCACATATGTGACACACATATATGCGATATAAAATATATAGCCCTTACTTTCCTCTAAAAAACAATATATAAAATGTGTGGGTGCACTTAGAAAGTATACATATCTATCTGTCTATTGATCAATCTTCAGCGAACAGCCATTTGCCAGGGTCGAAATAATTTTATTTATCCAGAATATACAGCTTAATTCATCTATCTACATTTATTTACATGGATACAATAAAACATTGAAGAAAAAAAAAAAAGTCAGTCTTTGAAAAAAATGAGGTCATTAGATTCAAGGCACCATTGAGAATAGTGTCCAAAAAGTTTGCGTCAATCTGTTTAAAAAAAAAAGTTCCCTTGGAATGCAATAAGTTACATGCAACAAGCTTTACACAATATAATTTGCTTTAAAAAAAAAATCCATCGTATGCTTTCTTTTGTAGGTTCCCTTAACAATGCAATATAAGAGTCCAAAATATATAAAAAAAAAAAAAAAGAAGAAAAAAGATTGTCCTCTTTTCCTTAGTACAGTGTCCCAGAAGCCAACGCTAATGGATGTTGTATGGAACTGTGGTTTTGTAAGTGGGAGTTGAGGGAGTTGCTTGTTGGGTACCAGACACTGGGGTTTTCCAAGTAGGTGGATGCTGGGGAGTTGTTGGATGTCTGAGGATGGGAATGCACATGTGGGTGATGACTGAGAGATCTTGAAGACCCTTGGGGTTCCCAAACCACAGGGGACTGTGGAGAATTACAAGCCATGGGATCACTGGAACTTGGGCTGTGCTCTGGAGGCATCTCTCCATTCTTCATGATCTTCTTAAGTTTAGATCTTTTGTTCTGAAACCAGATTTTCACCTGCAGGGAAAGGAAAAGAGGAAATGGTTAAAAATGTGACCAAAGCCATTCCCCATTCTTTTTCTTTTGCATGTGTTCTTACTTTGCAATTATGTATACTCACTTAGATACTTTATAAGTGTTTATTTACACTTTGCAGGCAGGCGGTATAACACTTCATTAAAAAGAACCCAAACAAGTATCTTGTTGGTTGGTGTCTCCCAACTTTATTTTAATTTAAAGTTACTTTATAATAAGTGAAACAAATATATAGCAGCCAGTAAGTACTAAATACAGCCTTGCATGTGCCATCTAGTACTGAGTACTCACATGTACAAAGACATTTATTATTACATTTCTTCTAACTGTATATAAATGTTTTCCAAACTCTGTATTTACATTAAAATAAAAACCCAATGGTGCCAGTTTTATATCAAATGTATTGTTTACAAAAACTCTTATGTATTATGAAGCGGCACTACTAGGTGTACATCCTGAACCCCTCAGAAGCCCTCCCTGGGATAAAAATATGCTGGTGTGTGTTAGGCCACATCTGGCCCTTTTTTCTTGTGACCCCCCACTCCCTTTAAAGGGGAATTATAGTCTTTTTGTTTTTATTTTTGCAGACATACATAGCTCATCTGCCTGTTTTAATGAACCCAGAACCTTGTTTACATGTATGGTTTGTAATTATCTCTGTACTTGGGGGGCTGCACTTTTTTGATCCTTTCATCTTACTGCTGGTTAAAAACAATAGACCCTCTGCAGTAATGATTGGTAGCGGGAGACCCTGTGATCAAGACTGCCTAGGCTGGCAGATGGGGAATAATTTTTTTTTCTTATCTTATCAAGAAATATAGTTACTGTCACACACAAAAAAAATTGATTATTAATAGTATTCTATTTAATTATACAATTATATTGCTATCGATGAGATTCTTGATCTGATCCATAGACTAATTATTTCACATTAGCTTTGGGTTATTTATTATGGAAATTAGTGGTTTTTGGAGGTTTCTTTCAATCATGATGTATCTATACATTTTTATCATGGCTTTTTACGATTGTATCTAATAAATTAAACTTTTGAAGTAATAAATCATTGTGTTGTCTTGGATTTGTCACATGGTGCCTTAAAAGCCCCAACTAGTCTCCTCTCATTTTTTTGTTTACTAAACCAGGGGTGTGGCACCAGTCACTTAGGATCTGTTCACAAAAACCTCCTTTTTAGTATTCTATTTATTTAGGTAAAAGTGAATTTTAAATATAGATTTAGAATAAATATTGATCAGAATATAAAGTAAGTCTATCCCTTATGAAGGAAGATTGTAGAGCTGCAGAACAGACATATGTAGATATCACATTTGTCCTGCCAGTGGTAGTAATAAAAAGTGGAATATTTATGGCGTTGTTGTCTGATGTCTGTTGTAAATCTCTGACTCCAGAACCACAAGACTGCAGTCAGATAGACTCACTAGTGCAGGAGTGCAGTGGGTAATTATTATTTAAAATGGCTGCATCCATAATGTGTCCTATATTACACACTGCAATGGTAATCTTGATATTGATAGACTTGGCAAAAACATATCATCAGTTAGCAAACTGCACAAGTCCAGAGACAAAATGATCTTTAACTTAAAAGCAGTCACAAACAATTCTAAAGGAACATAGAGGCAATGTGACCCAGTAAAATAGGCCCATGTCATACAACAGCTCACTAAGCTTAACAAAACAAAGCGGTTTGCTGGTTCCTAGATCCCTCATCAAGTGGTACACTTTGCCATTTTGAATAATTATGTGCAACATTAAACATATTGACTCATGAAGATTACGGCTACAGGGTCACAAATGTGAAAACAGAAGGTATGAAATATGCCAAAAAAAGAATTGCTGTAAACCTTTCCTCCTTTCAGAAAATATTTCCTAGTATCTCCAGCAGTTAAAATTAAAAAATTCTCTAATTACGAAAATTGATTTAAAAACATTTTAAAGTTATTTATTTGAAGTTAAAATTTAATACGTAAATCCCCAAAGCCTAGTTGTATTTTATGCAATTAACAGAACATGGCACTAGCCAGTTCTGGGTCATATGGGCTAGCCACTTGTGTAAAAGGCCTTCTTGTCTTATACATAAAAAAAACAAAAAAAAACAAACTCATGTTATTCTAGGCCTCTGCTCGCTTTATAATGCTCAGTCAACTTAAGGGAAATTGTATACCAAGAAAACAGTGCTTGGACATGCAACAGTTCATTATCATGATGCCACCAAGTCTTAGAATAATGCTGCAACATTTTCAATGTGACAAAAACCATTTTGAATAATTATCTGCATCCAGGGTGCCAACTCTACATCATTTCAGTTTGACTTTCTTACAGAAGCATCTGTGAATTAAGCAAATGTCTTTTCATTTCCACTGTTGATTACTTGGCAGGGGGAACATGAACTTAAAAAGTCCCAAATATATTTTGTAGTGTCTCTAAAACACAGTGACCCAGATTTTCAGCTGTGCCTGGATTTAAACAGTGCCAGTCAGCTACACAATAAGCACTTAAACCTAATGACATTCAATAGAAAAAAAAATGTATTTTTTGGCCACATTGGTCATATTCTGTAGTGCCCTGGCACAGGAAAGTGTCCAGCATTGCAACCGCAACCAACCAGTCAGCAATTTAAAGTTGGAAGTCTAAATAGTTAAATACAAGTAATTTCTGCAATGGCACTGCCTGCTCTACACCATGATCCCGCCTTGCCTGTAACAGATTCACTTTAAAAAGTTATTTGTTTTATTTGCCTACCCAGCGCATTTTTGTTCAGGGAAATGACATACTAAAGGTATGATAAGGGCACATATTTATGCAGACTCATTGAAACTGTGCTTCAAACACCCGATCAGATTCAACTGTGCATGTATTTATCTTATTTTATTTTATTTATTTATTTATTTAGAGTTTCCAAAAACTTGAGTGCAGGGGCTTGTTAGGCCAGTGCAGGAATAATTCTTGTATAAATCGCTAATGATTTACAAACCATCGTCCTAATTTTATTTTTTTTGCTTACAGTTAGATTAATGTGCTAAATTATTAAAATAGTAAGGCAACTTTTAACCTGTAACCACTTAAAAAGCCAGGCCAAGATCAGAAAAAAAATAATTAAACAAATAAATTAAAATGTTCCCATATTGAATATTTGAAGTGAATGCCAGCTAGGATTAAAGTTGAGTAAATGAGCATCCAGGACCCAGGTAATGCAAAAAAACATTAAAAACGTTTGCATGCATGAGCATTAACTTTGGGATCTAAAAGAAGGACAAAGGTGTCTTTAAAATTTAAATATAAAAAAACAAATTAAACAATAGACACCAGGCAAGTATTTCATCTCCTCTCCCATCATTGGATATTATTTAAAATAGGTTTATAATTGAATTTGGAATCTATTTTTTGTCTTTCCTTCTAAGATCTCACTATATTTTTATATATGTTATATATAAATACTTCAACGTGATTGGTTCAAAAACAGGTTCAGTGGGAGAGCATAACAAAACAGACAACCTTTTAAAAAAAAATGATTTTCAGGCCTGAGGACATGACACAAGGCAGAGTTCCCTGACTAAACTATTGTAAAAATATTGTTGAGTATTTCCAAACAGGACATGTCATGGTTCCACACTGCCTAGTACATCAATCATGCTCTCTCCAGCTCTACCACACATGCAAACCCTTAGCAAAAAAATATACAGACTCCTAAACTGCACTCAGTCCCTGAACACAAAAATAAAATGGTGCAAAACTTCTCCCAAAAAAAAAAAATACAAGGAAGATGCAAAGATGCATTCTTAAATAATTGTATTATTCTCTTTTGGATGGAGATCTGTTTTGAATTATCTCTAACAAACCCAAGGCTTTGATTTGTGCCATTTTACATCTGATTGGGGATAAGAGCCTAATATTTTGCACATGTGCACACTGCAGACGACTGGCAGGAGAAATGTGCCACATCTAGGCGACCTTGCTGATGAACTATAAACCCCAGCATTCAGGACAGGACACCAGCTGCAGTTTTTACAGCTAGGGACAACAAAACAAAACAAAAAAATTGC